GTTGTTTAAAGGTTTATTACCGGGTGGTAATGGGCCATTTTTTTTTTTTTTTTTTTTTTTGGGGCTGTTTTTTCCCAAAATTTTTTTTTTTTTTTTTTTTTTTTTTTTTTTTTTTTGTTACTTCTTGATTGTCACCATCATCATCTCCACTATCTTAAGAGAAGAAAGAAGAATCAGAAAGACTCATATAATTATCTATTCGATACTATTGAAAATGATATGAATCGAAAATAATAATGAGAATGATTTAGCCGAGACAAACAAGAAAAGAAAAAGAAGAATCAAGGATTTTTTTTCAAACAAATCTAGTTCCGCATAAAGACGAGAGAAAAAGATGTAATAATATACTTTTCTCATAAACTTACTACAGCATGTTGAATGTCAATAATTCTATGGTCAATTAAATCTAAACAAACTAAGAGACATACATAGATATTTGCCATTTAATTGTTGTTTTTTTCTCTCTCGACAATCATCGAATAACGATAGGCCATAAATATACACAGCCAATTAACGCAAACTAAATGCTTTTGATTATTTCTTTCTGCATTTTCAAATAATCATAGAAACGAGAGTCAGCAATGTTGGACAATTTATTCTCCAAAAAAAAAGAAGAAGCACGTACGTTGAAAGTTATGAAATGCATTCTTTTAAGTTAAATAAGATAAAATAATTAAATTTTTAGAAAAAAATAGGTATTCTATTTTCTTATGTTATCTTGTCTCTTAAATAATTAAACAAACTTGAGTTGTTAAGTATATATATATATATATAGAAAATCAGAAATTAAATAAAAATCAATCTTGTGTTAGACACGAAAATCATCCATCAAAACATCATTACAACACACAAATATTCATGATATGTCATGTCAGTTTGAATACAAAAATAGACATTCCCGAGCGAACATTATGTAGTTTATTCATACGATAAAAATATATCACTTTGTAGACACAGTACATTATGACTTTTTTTCATTCGCTAAATCTAAAAACTACGGATATTTTATCACCATTCTGTTGTACAACCATCACATATACATAAAAAACCATATAATCTATCGTCATATGAACTATTCTCATGTGAACTTCGACTAAGCTCAAATATCCTTTAGATTCTGTCTAAATGTATTGGATGATAGAAAAGACTGCCTAAGGCAAAATTTCATCGGCATATTATTACTGTTAACCCGAAAAATCCATGCATATCTTGCTGGTTGTCAATGAAACGCTGTTAGTTGACTGTTTTTTTACCAATGTAATAAACATGAAAAGATTTTGTCTTCAGTTGTCGAATCTGAGTTAATCATCCGAACTAATTAGTTTATTTCAGCCTATCTATAATATTATTAGAGAGGAGACTATCATGATCATTCTTTCTCTAGAAAAATAAACAAATACAATGAAATTAAGTAATCTAATATTAGAAAATAAATAATCTCTCTATCAAGTTAAGACGATTTGAGATTTGGAACTATAGATGAAACTAAAATATGAAGATTATTGATTATATCATTTCTTTTTTTCCCTAGATATTCCATCCACCGTTAATTCTTTACTTTCTTATTTGTTTATCAATGACAATTAATAAATTTTAACACCTGCTTTCAAAATATATTTATTACATGTATTATTTTATTACATTCGTACTAGTGTATTAACTTCTTTGTTTTTCACTCCTATTTTTTTATTTATGGACGTACTATTGACGACAAAATCTTTTAATTATCGAAAATAAATCATAATATGGCAACATCAAAAGTTTTAATTGGTCATCCAAGTTTTAATCGTTCCATTGAATCTCATAGTAGTGTACATTCAACACACAGTGATACATCGTACACAGCACCCTATGGTACAAGTCCAACAAATGAAGATATTGGCACACAGACAGACATAAAAACTGTCAATGAATCACGTCGTCGACGGGATGAAACAATTGTCGATATTAGTCTCGAATCAATGAAATATAATGGAGGTAAGTTTGAATTTTGTATGTATCCAATATTATCTAAATGATTGAGTTAGTTACACGTTATTCAATCACTTTTAAGAAACTGTAGTAAATGAAATAAATAAAGACACTAATTCGTGATATTGATTATTCTATGATGAAACATATAGTTTTGAATATTTTTTCTGTTACTGCTGATAATTGATTGGGCGATGAAAGAGTATAATATAATAAAAAAATAAATCGAAAAGCAGAAAGAACGATTAACACGATGAGAATTTTTATGATATAATTGTAAATAAAATAAGAACAAAAAAAAAAGATATATTATATATATATATATATATATATATTCGCTCAGAAAAACAAGAAGAGAATAGGTTTTAAAAGTAAAAATTCATACACTAATCTGTAAGCATCTCTAACTGTTGATCTTTAACGAATAAAGTCTAAAATCGTTTTTAGCAATACCATTTCGACAACTACAACGTCCTGTTTGTTTAAATCGACAAAATTCGAGACAAAGTGAATGTAGTGGCTCATTATTAGGCGTTGGTGATCTAATGTCAAATAATCAAACTACAACGGCGGCAATAAACACAGTAAATGGTGGTGGAGCATCTAATGAACAACAGACTTCAAGTATAACAATATCTGCTTTAACACCGCCAAACGGAAATAATAATAATCTAAATAATGGACATGATACAGTTGGACCGTTGCGTGGTAGTGGAACATCTGCACTCTTTCTAACAGATGATTCATTACCACTTGTAAATACAATGCCTAAACGAGTTGAGCGTACATCTCGTAAAGAATGTTATCGATTAGGACGACGAAAACTTTTATTTGAAAAAAGACGAAAAGCATCCGATTATGCTCTATTTTTCGCTATGATTGGACTATTATTTATGGTACTTGAACAAGAATTAAGCATGGCGAGAGTATACGATAAGGTAAAGTTCAAAAGTAGACATCTGCTACACACACTAATCAAGTATACTAGACGGTTTATGATTGCCAAGTAGTCTTCTGTCATACCACAATTTTAACCTTTATTATTGAACTATCAAATTATATAGTGATATTGTATAATCGGAAAAAAAAGTGTTTTAATTGAGAACTTTTTCACTTATAATCCTGTAAGTTGTTTATTCTTGAAAAAATGAATTCCTAAAAGCAAAATTTTACCAGTGGTACGTCAAGAGCAAGAAATAATGCTGTCGCTAATAATTTATAACCACTTTTTTCGTTGTTCTCATCACAGAAAATATTCAGCAAGTTCGAAATTTGACACCTAAACCTGCTCGAGATTTGAAAGTCTTTTTCCACCACCAATTGTGTAAAATCAAGTGATAAACACTTTCTACAGAAAGAGTTATGTGACTATTGGATATATATTTGTGATAAATAAGCATGACTCTTCCTTCCTTGTTTTTAATTCATATACTGATATAAGATTTAAATAAAATGTAAGCAATATGTTTATTCCATTTTATTTCATCATTATGTGAATTGATCAAAGAATTATTTTAAAAAAATTTTCAAACATTTTTCTCTATAGAAGGAAGATATTGAGGTTTAAAAACATTATATTTATAGAGTACGAATATTTGGAAAAAACGTAAAAACCCATCTATATTGATTATCAAAACAAAAGATCATCAAACATATTTATAAGAGGATCATAAGAGCCTCTCCGCCATATTCTGTCTATCATTGCGCGAAAGCAATTGAAATTTTTTCTATTTCTTAATTGATCGCTGTTAACTTATACAATGAAAGCGTTTGTTTTTCTCCTAAAGTGTCGTCTATATTCATAGAAAAAGTGCATCCAATTATTTCTAGTTTTTTTATCCAATAATTAGAAACTTCTTTTTTTGACTCTCAACGTCATCAATTAATCGTAAATCAATTAGTATAGAAAAAAAAAATAATAATAATAATACTTTGATCTCATTTTTTCATTCACAAATCTTCTGTTTTTTGTTAGTTCTCACATCTTTGTATAAATAGATTTCTTTTCTTCTCAATTCAGTTGTAAAACGTCAGTATTACATCATTTATCACGTAAACGTTAATCATATCATGTGGAAGAAATTCTTATTTTAAAGCCCATTTAGTATTGCTATATTATAGGAATGAAGAGTTAAGTTGTAAAAATGTCGTTTGAAAACATGTTGATGACAAAAATAGATGTATATATATATTTTTTTTAAATCAAATTAGAGAAAAAATACTTAAATGGAATGACCATATATCTATATTATTTAACTAGTTTATTTTTCTTTTCATCTGATACTAATTATTGTGACTGAACACTATTGTAGATCATATAAGAATAAATTAATTTCCATTATTATTATCATCGGTTAAAAATGACCCTAAAAGACAAGAGAAAAGAAATGTCACATTTCATAAAATATTTGATAAATTATTAGACTATCGCTCTTTCTTTGTTTTTCTGTTCAATTTTTTTTTTCCTGTTTCCTCTATCTAATGCATTTAGAGAGAAAAAACTGTCGACATTTATTAAAATAAAAGGTTTCATTTGCATGTGTGTGAACAATTTAAGAATTTTTTTTCTCCTACTATACCAGTTAACTATATTCGGAAATAAACGAGTGAAATATAGTGTTATTGTTGTTTTTATTTCTTAAAAACACAAATTATAGTTTCAAGAGAATTATAAACCTCCAAGCTTAGAAATTATAAAGAAAATTGTCAGTTTCTTCATTGAATAAATACGCTCAATAAGCCATCAAAAATTACATAGAAAATATATACTTTGAGAAACATTTAATTCGATTGATTTTGACATAAAAATCTTATAAAATGAAACAAGTTTTTAATTTTAAGTTTTAATTGAAAATAGAATTCAATAAAAAAAAAATAAAATAAATTCTATCAGGAAATATCATTTCCTTAAATTTTTTTATATTTGAAGTTTGTTCAAAAGTAGTAAAGCACATTTTAACATCACTATAACTAGAAGAAAAACTTGAAAAAATATTTTAAGACATTTCATGTTTAAGAAAAAAGGGAAAAGATGAACCTAATGGAAAAACAGGAATGACTTGTTGCATGACCTTAACATGAACAGGAAATATAAAATTAGAAACAAAACGGTATATGCTTAATGGATAAAAAAAAATATGTAGGAAATCATCTAACATTTTCTTCTCGTTATATAAGCATAAAAACGGAAATAAAAATGGTATTAAAAAATCAAGAATATTAATTGTGTTAGAACAAAAAATTAAAAGCATGAAAATATCATCTATTCTCACAAAGAAAGTAAAAGTAACTACGATTAAATAAAAGAGATTAGGGGGTTATATGATTATTTTTTACTTTTTTTTTAGTGAATATTGTTCTGTTACGATATGCATTAAAATTTTTTTCGAAAATAAATTATTAAATTATTGATGAACATGATATTTATCTTGTTCATATACTATTTCAATTATGACTATTTTCCCTATAGTTTTCTTGATTTTTTTTTTATCACGATAGACTATAACACAAAATACTTGGTGTTAACATGTTAACATTACTAATTTTAGTAAAAAAATTATGAGAAAAGAAGAAAAGAAATATTTTGTGGAAATATTGACTATTAATTTGACATTTGTTAATGTGATTTTTATTCTTTATATGGAATCCTTCTTATTTGGGATTTCTTGTAGGGAATTCCGTCAAATAAAAACGAAAAGTTGTTTAGTGTCTATATTTCAGGATTAATTAAAGAGTCAATGGAACTATTGTCTATATAGTAGTATGTCAACCTGATTTGCAATTCTACACCATTACAATTCATAGTATAGTTGATTGAATCGCGAGAGAATGAGATAAAAATTTTATCACAGATATTTGAGAAAATTTCCGAAATGTCAGTTATTTTTTGCTTCATGTCATCTCTTTTCTTTCTCGATTTATGTTAAAAAAAAAAATACTAAAGAACCTTTCATAAACCAATTTTTCCATTTTTAAAATCTTATACCTCGTGAACTTTTAATGGAAACCAGAAACCATAAAAATAGAATGGAACAATCTTAGAAATGTTCTCAAAATACTCGTGATTAAAAATTTTCAGCTTTATCAAATTAAGTACATAAGAAGTTGTTGAAATCGAACGTCATCAGTGATTTTAAAAAATACATGAGACTATCAAGGTCATGTTTTTTACGGCTATTTTCTACAACAGTTATAGCTTCTTAATGAAACATCAGAGAAATGTTTTATTTATACATACAGAGTGAATTTAATATGTGACCTAAACACACAAGTCTACTTTTCATCTTCAGTTAATGAATAAACGATTAATACCTTTGGTATTTTTTTTTCGTGATGATAACGAGCGAGATTGTTTAATTATTTTAAAAGTTAAACATAGACGACTTACTGCTTGATGAACACAAAATGAATTTCATTGAAGTTATGATAATTTCTTTCTTAATTCTTTTTCTATACTCTCAAACAAGATAAAATTTGAGTTTTTGTACTGTTTTTGTAGTTGATTTTGAAAGAAAAGTTAATGACGTATATTACGTAACATTACAGGTTTTAAAAATGTAAAAAGTATTTGATAACTATCTTCTTCACTTTTTTCTGCTCAGTAAATATCATGAGTCGGTTTCTTTTATCACAGAAATCGTCTATTGAAGGTAAACATTTCAAATAGTAAAATACCTTTTTAACGAATTATTCTAAATATTCTCTAACACAACTTATGTATTTCTCGAAAGTAAAGTTAATATATTTATGTTCTATCTGTTTAGCTTCATTGGTGTTCAATTTTGCTCAAATCACTCATCACTATTTCTACAGTCATTTTAATTGGTATGGTTATATTTTATCATGCATTGGAAGTTAAAGTAAGTTTATTAACTCTTAATTGAGATACTATTTTTATACGATATTCTCGTTTAGTTATTTATGATCGATAACTGTGTAGATGATTGGCGAATCGGAATGACGTGGCAGCGTGTACTACAGATCGGTGCTGAAGTATCAATATGTGCCATACATCCAATACCTGGCTCATTTAAATTTTTTTGGACAACACACATGGCAAATAAATCTGATTATCCATTACATATTAAAACAGCTGAAGTTTATATAGACATATTACTATCATTACCAATGTTTTTTCGTCTTTATCTTATTTGTCGTGTGATGTTATTACACAGTAAACTATTCACAGATGCTTCATCGAGAAGTATCGGTGCATTTAATCGAATTAAATTTAATACACGTTTTGTACTTAAAACATTGATGACAATATGTCCAGGCACCGTATTACTGGTATTTATTTTATCGTTATTTATTATTGCAAGTTGGACAGTAAGAGCTTGCGAAAGGTAAGAATCGTAGCAATAATAAATGTTAGAAAAATGTTTTGAATAATTCAATGATAATTATTTGTACTCGAAACTATTTAAAGTAAGATATTTTTAGTAGATTTTAATTAAAACTAAATTATGTTTTTTTAAGATGAAAAATAATGACATTTTTGTTTTTCTGAAATTTTTAGTAATCATGATCCAAAACATCATGGAAACTTGTTAAATTCAATGTGGTTAGTAGCCGTTACTTTCCTGGCTATTGGCTATGGAGACACGGTTCCAAATACTTACTGTGGAAGGGCTATTTGTGTTGTGTCCGGTCTTATGGTAAGTGGCGTAGAGATGGCCGAATCAACTTAAATATGTCTTGGATCAGAATAATCATATAGTTTTTCTATTTAGGGTGTATCATGTACAGCCACAATGGTAGCTGTTTTAGCTCGAAAGCTTGAATTAACGAGAGCTGAAAAACATGTGCATAATTTCATGATGGATACACAGTTAACGAAAAGAGTATGTATCAAGAAAACTATATTGTTTTCTGTTAGATAAATTAATACCATTTTATTTTTTCAGTTAAAAAATGCAGCAGCTAATGTTCTTCGTGAAACTTGGTTGATATACAAATATACAAAACTCGTCAAAAATGTGAATAATTCACGTGGTAAGTGAACTATTTTAATTACATTATCGATACACTATATCAGTGATATATTCATTTACAATTTAGTTCGGACACATCAACGAAAATTTTTGCATGCTATTCACAGGTTTGTTGATTCCTCTAAAAATCTGACTAATTTTATTTTTAACTTTCTTCATCCATCAGTTTAAGAAAAGTCAAACTAGATCAACGAAAACTCACTGATAATGTCAATGCTGTATCAGATATAGCAAAGGTAGAAACCAAATATGTGTATCTAGTAATCAAGTTAGTACACGTCTTTTTTTTTATACATTTTTTAGTTACAATCATCGGTATACGACGTTACTTCACAAATGCTTTCAAATCAAACAGTATTGGAAAATAGATTTCACGATTTGGAAAATAAAGTTACCGCGTTACAGGTAGAACATAATATTTCTAATTTTAGACTTCTTTTTAGAACAATCGATTGTTCATTCTTCTTTTTGCACTGTTAAAACCTCTGAGAAAATGCACTATCTACTGATTGTCTTCAGCTCAATCATAAACTGAAAATATTAGTGCAACTATTAAATATATGACTGTTTTTGTTTTAGTGTCAAATCGATAATTTACCTGATAGTATGGCACAAGCTGTCTTAGAACAGAATAATCGTTTATGGGAAAGACTTGAAAATCGTGTGCAAAATCAACTCACTCTCGTACGACCGTTACCCACAATATCAGTGACATGTCCACGACAAAATACTGTATAATATTGTGCAAAATATTTTACTTTTTTTTTTTGATGAAAACTAATAGAAACCTATTTTCTTTGTAAGCTAATGCAGCAATATACCCTTGGTTTCGAGGTAGAATAAGAGCCAGTCTTTCGCTTTCCCAATACAATGTGATAACCGTTTTTATTTCTTATACAGACTTTGTGTTCAACGGTTCATCCCCAGATAATCATTCAAACATTTTCCAATATATTTTCTAACAGTGGCAGACGATCAACCATGATCCTTCGAATGTATGTACGTCATATGACTAAAGATATGATCATGTTTTGTTATTTTGTTACTAGTCTTTTTTTTCTAATGTCGTTCTTTTGATATCGATCTAGTCAATGTAATTTTTTATTTCTTTCACATGAGTTTCACTCCACACAGTAGCGTGGTTCTTTAAAAAAAAAAATTCACTATGACCATACTGAAACCGGTCACAAAAATACGCCTGCATGTTTCTATTTTTGTACATGTAAGCTGTTTTTTTCTTTTAACGAACATTTTCTTGTTACAATTTTAGCATTTGACTTTTTTGTTGTTATTTTTAAAATTGTATAAGTTGGTGCTCTTTTCAACTACTGTAAGCTCAATTTACAGTGAAAATGTTACTCTATGTAGCTAAACTTTTTAAATGAATATTTCTTTCTATCATAAACAAAATATTCTATTATTCTATCGGCGTTTATGGAGAACCTGGTAAGAAGGAAAGAAGTTGAACACGTATCTTTTTTTGTTTTTTACTACTTGTATTTTCATTATTACAATCAACTGCTCAACTATATTCATTTCGAAAATCTTTGCACGATTTTAATTTTGGACTACTTTGTAGAAGAAGCTATGTGCTTACAAGGCTCTTTCTGAATTGAGACCACTTTTTTGCGCTCACTCTCACTCTCTGCTTCCCGCCCTCTGATGTTTGTTTGATATCAACTAAGACTTAAAGACAATTAAGACATTTTATCAAAAAAGTGGTCTCAATTCGGAAGCCTTGGCTTACAAACATCTTTGGGATCTAATTTTGTCTCTCTCTTATGTTCTCTTGTATTTTGAATACTGAAAAGTTTGGATGTGAGTTTTTAGTTTCGACCTCACAAGCAACCTGTGAATGAACCATGCATAAGCATAGAAAGGAGCATTTGTCTTAACTTCCTATGCATCTCTATTTGTTAAATACTAGCTTAGTCTCCGTTTTATCTTTATTTCAACTTCGATTTCATAGGTTCTTACTTTAAAAATCGATGACATAAGTAAATTACTAATCTTCCTCTTACGTTCATGTTTTATTTTAGTGTACATTAAATATTATTTTTATCTACGAAAAATAGCTAAATTATAAAACAAAATTTATCTTACTATATTATCAAAGGGTATTTTTGATTAGTAGAGATGTTGAATAAATCAATGATACAGTTTATCTATTAGTAATAATCAAAGTTATTAAAGACTTCTATCCTTTGATGCATTGTGAAGCTTCCGAATTCTTCTTGAACTAACGACGGATGGTCTAGAGTGACGAGATGCACTGTTTCTCTTCTGTGTTCGCACACGTATACAAATATACGAATAATATGCATGATTTTCGTCATATCGATTTAGTTATACGACATGAAACTCCTCTTGAAAAGTTAACTGCATATTTTCTACTTATTTGATCATAATATATTAATAACAGACTTGTGTATCTAATACAAGAATGTTCATTGAGAAATCCGAAAAAATTGACACGATGTCGATGACGAGCATTATCGTTTATTGAAAAAAGCTTTTTCTTCAGAACCATATGTAGCAAAGACCTAATACTTTTACTAAATATTCGATTAGCTAGGATCATGAAAATATCATGTGTGATAAATAAATTCTAAATAAGCGACGGCACTGTTTGAAAAATTATTAAAAAGTCAGTTAAAACAAAATTGAATATAAAATAATGAATTAGAATAAGTTCTCTCAGCTTTATCGAATACTAGATATTTTTGTTGTTAGACCTAAATAAGAGCGAACAAACTTTTGCAAGACAAACTTAAGTTTTTCATGAACTTCTTTGTAACGGTCATCATCAGTAGGTCGATGGAATAATTCAACAGCATAATGCATCTGCCCATTACAATGGTGCCAGCACAATATCAGATTTTCATAGAATGACACGTTTCTGTTCCCTGAAAGTTCAGAATTCATGATTATGATGTGAAATTTCATAGAAATCTATTTTACGGCAGTGTAATGATACCATAGTTCAATGTATATTACGCCTTTCTTAACTCTAAAATTTAGGAGATTAGAAAACTCAAATCAATTTTCGTACGTTCCCTAACATTCTGAGGTTTAGATTAGGTTAAGTGAGAAAACCTGGTTGGTAGAAAATTTTCAGTTCAGTTGAAATTTTTGCATTCCCAGAAAATAGGAGCATGCCATGTACTCCAAATTTTTCAAGAAATTTGAAATTGAAATAAAACGAACTGTTACCGTGCAATAAACTTGATTGTAAAAGGTAGTTCTATCTTTTTTTAAATATTTTTTTTTTCTAAAAAAGAAGTTTTCGCTTTTTCCAGAGAGAAATGAAATAGCATAAAACTAAATAGAGAAATAAAGTTGATAAGAGCGCTCGTACATACAAAACGCTAGATAACCGCCAGAGTAAGAAGAAACACCTCTTCCTATTATTAAATGTTCTCATTCCTGTTTGAGATTAGTACGGATATAATATGATAAAAATTTTTGAAATAGCAAATTGCTATCTTTCATTTTTGATTTATCTAGGACGAACATTGGAGTTTATAACATCGACTCACTGCTTCACTTTTCAACTAATTTATCCTCTCTAAAAGCTGTACTCATATAGTAGTCAAGTAAAATGATCTAGCCATTTCTGTATGTAACAAGGAGGGCTTTGTGCCAAATTTTTATATCAAAAAAGAAACAAAGAAATAACAGCAACAAAAACAAAAAAAATCGACTCTACCGAGTTTCAAGTAGCCCTGAACAGAGCCGGAGATAAAAAAAAAATAAAACAGAGAAACAATAACGAGATAACAGATAATCACGTTCAATGAATAAAGTTACAAACAAAAAAAAGGATGTTTTTTCTGAAAGACGAAAATTTTCCAGAAAAAAACAACAACCACATTATATGTGTGTGTGTAGTTTTTATGTTATCATCCATTAAAAAAAGAAAAAGAAAAAACAAAACAAAATCACATTCAACCGGCGATGAAAAACACAAACACAGAAGAAAAAAAATAGCTAGAAACAGAAAAAAGAGGAGAAAAGAGAAAATACATGATAACTAAGGCTTTCACTTAATATGCTGTAGTAGTTACATCATTTATTGTATTTGAAGCAATATTCATAGTATTAGAAGAAGGCATAGAGAATGGTGATGATGGTGTTAATTGATTAACAATGTTTTGAATTTCAATATTGACTATTTGTCCCTAAAATAAGAGTCGAATAGGCCACATTAGACAGTAACTTTCACAGAAAATAATCTACAATGATAATACTTACACTATAATCATCTGGTCTAGTTAATTGAATGAAGGCAAGTCCATCATAATGATAACCGGTTATCAGTGCTTTTAATACATTTCCTGATATAGAAGATTTAACGGCATTAATTTGTTCAGGCAGAAAATCATCTTGACCTAAATAAATCAGAAACTAAATAATAATTATTCTTATTCATAAAAAAAAAAAAATTAAGAGCAATCAATCGTACCATCAACTGGTAAAACACTATCAAGATAAACTTCAGCGGCTTGAAATGGAATAAACATAAAATCTTGCCTAAATGGATATAAAGAATAAATTATAGAAAATTATCAAAAAAATTTAAGTAACACTACACACCTTAATACTCTCAATGTATTTGCATGTATGTACAAATAACCGCCATAATCAAGAAATTTAATCATTGCCATATCATCGTCACTATTATAATCTGTAATTAGTGCACGAAACCAACCAACTTGTGTTGGTGCCGCACATATTACACCAGCTATAACAAAATTATTTTACTTCTTATAAAATGATGTTAAAATAACAATTATTAAAAACAAGTTTTTCAAATATATAAAAAAAATAACCGAATGTATACAATTTATCAACTTACGCTGAATTGGTCTCGGCAATAAAGGTGTCATTTCTGTATGAGTATAAAATAATGACATTGAATTGTCTAATCTTACAAGTTCAGTATAAGATGGATGTTGTAATTGTTGTACAAATATATGATTACACGAGACAATACTTGTTACAATAATATCTGTCATTGTTGTATCCGATAAATATAACTAAATAGATAAATAGAATTCAATTTTTTTTATTATCTTTTATTATTTTAAATATAAAATATTTTACTTGAGATGCTGGCGATACAACAAAACGTTCTGGTGTTCGTCGTCTCAATACAATTTTTTTATGAATTGGTTTGAAAACAATGCCTTTATAAATACTTGGAGGAAAACGTTCAGCAATTGAATTAAGAGCTTTTTCAACGTCAGCTCGACGTCCTAAAAAAGAAAAAGAAAAAGGATAAAATAATTAGTTTAATTATTTTAATAGAATTTTTTATTTTACCATGTAATGCAACAATTTGTTTTTCCCATGAAACAGGATCATCACGAACAACAAGATCCACTTGTGTTGTTTGTCTAATATAATCAACGTGTACACCTTGTTTACCAATAAGACGTCCACAAAAATGAATAGGAAAATGAAATTCATATATAATAATTTCTTGATCTTTTGTCATTGATACCTAAATATATAAAAATCTATTTGAAATAACAATTTTAGATTTTTTATTTTTTTAATTTTCATTTAACATGTTTGGTATTATTGAACTCATAAAGCTAACCACCTGTCTTATATCACACAACTCTCTCATTTGACAAAATAATCCTGATATAATGTTTAATCTTGAGTGATAGAAACTTTTTGTTGACATTGGTTTTACATTTTATAACAAAAATCATTGCAATTTTAATTATTTTCAGGATTAATAAAACGTATCAAATTTTCTCTTATAAGTACGTACACATTCTCAACTAATTTTCTTTTTCTTTCACTTAACATCATTCTTAAAAAAGACAAATGTCAATAGTTCTATAAAAGTGTACTAGGATAATATATATTTTAAAATATCTATTATAGAACTTCGTCTTAGTTAGCCCGTAGAAAACTGACAAGGAATAGCAAAATAAATTAAAGGCAAAGTAACTTTTTAGAAAACGACTTTTCCCCTTTTGACATAAGACGCGTTAATTCAGTTTTCACTCTTACAAGTAGAAAAAAGAAACCATGTACTATTATTATCTGACAGAACGATGAAAAACTTATCATTTTTATGTATATTCCATGTATACTTCTTCTACGATTAATATAGAAAATACTAAATACTGCATCACATGAGTTTAATTTATTCTATCAGTTATTCTAAATATAAACAGCACGAAGCTTCCGAATTGAGACCATTTTTTTGATAAAATGTCTTAATTGTCTTTAAGTCTTAGTTGACATTAAACAAACATCAGAGAACGGAAAACAGAGTGAGAGTGAGCGCAAAAAAGAGGTCTCAATTCGGAAAGAGCCAAACAGCAACATCATGTCTCTTCTATTTGTCTTCTCTCTCTCATTCCAATGATTTACTTTTTGTTCAATGTTAAATGATCAAATACTACATTATGAAATAGATATTTAAAGCGTATTGAAGAAGACAACTGCGAAAAAATTTGAACAACATAAAAATCGAATAAAAAAATCATTTATTTTATAATTCAAAAGATCTATGTAAGAAAATTTTCAACATCTGATCGTTATTATCTTTTGGTATCTAAATGAACTCTTTTTGATTGTTCCTATCAAACGACAGTTGATATTGTCGTATATCTTTTTTCATATATTTATCATTTTGATTGGAAAAAAAATTTTTATGAGAGAAAAGAGAAACAGTCAAGAGATATGAACTCTTTCGTCTATGTTTTTTGTTATAATAAGTGTTTGCATCCATTATCAACAATATCTTAAACAATGATTACTTCTCTTCAATGACAAATACTTAGGATCAACATAAAAGTTATTGTTAAGAACATTTCTCCTTACAAAATATTTTCCAAAGTTCAGTTTTCATTCAAGTGAATAATTGCCATTAAAAAACCTATAACAATACTTGTATGATGAAGAATAAAACAGTCTGTAGAACTCTTTTTCCGATAAACGATTAGTTAAGTTAATAAAATAGATCGAAGTATTTTTGACAGTAGTAACTTCGATACAATTTTGTCTGTAATTGAAAATAAACAGTTAAGATTATTCGATCCGTATTCTTCGGTATCAAATAGAGTCTACTATTTGTAGAATACTTGAATTTTTTTTCTTTCGATAAGTACCATATGTTACATAGAGAAGCATTTTCTCTGTACAAGAAACATATTATCATCAGCTGGCCACAAATTGTCAGCTGTTCAGTATGAAGTGCATATTTCTGTTGTCTTTCTACTACTAAAAATACGGTATGAACGATTAAAAATATACAAATAATCATATGTTAAACTGCAAATATGATTAACTATAATAGATGATTTCGTTCTTTATTCTCATCAGATAAAAAACTACTATAGTATCTATCACTAGACATTTCTTATTTTATCATTTTCATCCAACTCACTAATAATCTCTTTTCAAAGTGTTATATGGTCAGCTGATTACATTTCATATATCACTGTATAGACTGAACAATACAATGTTTCAAAAGACATTATGAAATCAATGAACGTTGACTTTAGTAACTTAAAAAAAAAGTACATTCGTGCATTTTTTGTTTTTTTCATGCTCAGAACACACACAATGAGCTGATGATAATCGTTTAAAATTGTAACTACGATTATTCGAGAAATTTTAATGGATTGTATTCAAAATACCAAGACAAAGATGAATTATCCCGCTGCTTTTGTTTTCTCTCGTTCCATTTACCTTGCAACACAATCAGATTGCATTATATGTACTAATCGAACAATAGAGTTGAATACTTATTCACTCATTTCAATCAGATTCACTATGATTTAGTTACACAAATTCATCGTATCACCGTTGTCTGTTTTAGAAAAAACTAATTTTCCATTTGAGAAGAATGATTTCGATTAGGGATGGGAGGAGGAATTCTTCATCACTTTTTAAAAGTTATTCAGAAAGAATTTTTTTTTATTGTGTAGTGAGAACTGCTATGCATGTTGGATTTTTCAACTGAGTAATTACGGTAGAAATGGACTCCACTGTATAAGTCAGTTTTTCTTTAGCACTACAAAGTAGCAGATAATTAGTCAAGCAATTACTAATGGTTTTACCTCATTCTAAAATCATACAGGTAATCAAAGAGTTATTCTTACTGCGAATTCGTCTAACAAAGCTGTATATTCTATTTCAAAGAAGGCAGCCTCTTATCATACCTGATCATCAAAGAAATAAGTTTCATCTTGTCCATCACTGCTTAAGATTTTCGATTTATCTAGTTCATTCGATGTTGATGTATTTTGTATATTCACTTGTGGTTTCTGCTTCGTTTTTTTACACGTCGAAGTTTTAGTTGTTGTTGCCGTATTTGTATTCGATTTATTATTATTATTACTATTATTGGTATTATCGACTAGTTGTTTAGATGCGATAGTTACCGTCGATGATGTGGGTGTTGTGGCTGTAGTACCATTCATTTTAATCTGATCTTTTTTCGTTGGATGACTACTGTTGTTGGTTTTAGAATAATAATTATTCTCTTTTCCGTTTGTACACCCGTAATCATATGAATACCAATAATTGTTATAACGTGATTTATTGGTCTGTTGTTTGCCTTTCGATGCATTGACTGGGGTTGTTGTTGGAGAAAGTGAAGAAGTGGATGAAGATGAAATCCCATTATCAGTTTGTTGTGGTGGCAAATGATCAATTGTGGTTGTAACACGAGGTTTTGTTAGAGTTTTTTGTAATTGAACACTAGGAGTTTGATCAGGTTCATTATGATAACCATTTGTTAATGTGAGCTGTTGTACTGTTTCAGTAACATTTGCATCATTATTCTCAGATTTTGTTGATAACGTTTGGTTTTCTTTTTCGTCATTAGTTGTTTCATCTATAATATCTATCCATAAACGTTTTGATGTTGGAATTAATTGTGTATTAAGAATTTGTTCATCTTCTCGAGTATCGTTCGTCTTCTCATTTTCAATTAATTGTGATGAAGGTGTACTTGGTAATACTTGATCGATATTTTCATTCGTCTGATCGATAATATTTTCAAGTTCTTCATTTTCTTCATTATTATTATTAGTATCATCATTAATAGTAGTTAAACAAAAATGATCATCATCTGAACAATCAATTAAACCACTTTCAATACTACTACTTCGTGGCATTTTATTTTCGAGTTTTGAATCCACTATATTATCATATGTAATTTTTGTACCAAATTCATCGTGTTCAATTTTAGGATATTCATTTGATGTTGTCAAAGAAGTTGATGATACAATAGTTAATTTATGTTGAAGTGATGGTGAAAATATGGTTTGAATTTCTTGATCATTAGTTTTTGGTCGAATATCAATTATATATACATCATCCGTTTGACATTGTTGATCACATGTTTGCTTTAAATAAGATAATATTAAATCATCGGTAGAATCAGATGACAACATTGTTGCTGTTGTCGATGGATCAGTTAAAAATAATTTGGTTTTCAAGGGTAAAGATTGATCATTATTAATTGATGAAAGATATTTGTCTGTTACGGTCGAATTATTACATGGATGAGAACAAGATCTTAAAAAGAAAAGAAAATACAAAGTTAGTCATATCGTTTTTCATGAAGGTGCACATGATATTTCATCCAAATTCAGTATCTAAGTTACAACTTGTACATGGCAGTTAAAACAAAAACAAATGACGCCTACTCTGGCAAGAAAAATAAGATAATAACAAATGAAAACAACAAAAAAAAATAATGCAAAAAAAATCATGTAACACATTTTTATTAAATAATAAAAATAACATATAAAATTAAGCAAAATATGAATTAAAAATTCAGAGGTGATTAGTTATCGGAAAATGGCAAAACATTAATACCAAAAATACTTTAGACTAAATGATCGGGAAGTCAAAAGAATGGGAAGAAAATTTTCTTTGCATATTTTTTATTCTTTCTAAATTATAACAGCAAACCTAGCCAGTAATACATTCATTTACATATTATTCCAGGCTGTTTTCCTTCTAAGTTGCATTACACTCTGCATCAGAAAGTGAAAAAGAACTAAGTATACGGTTTGTTGCTGTTACAAACAAATGTTACACATTATATAACAATAATCACCGGTTAAATCTGACATATTTTGAGCAAATTAGTTATTTTAACATATTTTGACTTTTTCGAGTTAGAAATCATACATAATAAGCCTAGTTTTTGCATTTATAAAATTATTGAATATTTTAACCATTTCAACATTAATAAATTAGAAAAGAAAATTTTTTAAAATTTCTTCTCTTTACCGATCTAAGAGAAACTGCTTGATCGTTAAATGCCTAGATCGTATTCTAATATATAGCAGCAGCATTAATAATTCTATTTGTTACAAAATTTTTAAAACTAGGAATCAGTATACTTACAACATTTTCGAATATGAATTAGATTTTTCGTTGTCTCGCATTTCATCATAATTATCATCCTCATTAAACTCTTCTTCAGTTTCACTATAATCGTCATGAAAAAGTTTTGAATCAGTTCTATAACATTGAAATGAATGATTTGAATCTAATGAAGTTGAAATCTGACAATTTTTTGTTATTGTTGGATGTTTAACTAATGCTGTCGGTGTACGTCTTAGACGGTTAATCGGTGAACAGGAGAAAGATTTTTTCATTGATACTTTCTTAATTTGATTATTATTGTTGTTACTTGTAAATAATAAATAACGTGCTAAATGTGGATAAACATTATTTGTTGTTTTACATGCAGTTGTTAATATTTCTTGTGCTAAAGAATCACAATAATGTTCAACATTTGTTCCATTTATTTCGGAATTATTTTTGCTAAATGGACAACATGAACAATGTACTGATTGTTGTTGATCTTGTTTGATAGCTGTATTTGATATGGAATGATAACCAGACGATGTTGTAGATGTTAGTGATACAGATTGATTGACATCATTATAATTTTGTTTTAATTTTTTTTTTAATTGTTGTTGTTGATCAGATAAACAATGACAATTATTTGATGCACGTTTATTACCTAGCCAATAGCTACCGAACAATAAAGTTCCTAACGCTAAACTACAAGCACCAGCAACACCAAACGCTTTACTGGAGCTGGCTGCCGATGATGAATTCATTATTTGATTATTAACTGTTTTTGAACGATGATGAGAGCCAACAGAGCTGAAAAAATGAACTTAAACATATCGATAAAGAATAGAAAAAATAGAGAGAAAGAGAGAAAGGGAGAGAAAATAATACTGCACGAAACGAATATGAATAGAAGAAACGGTAATTTTATCACTGTATAGGTCAACCTGGCTATAGCTACATTAGTTCAGTGTCTTTTGTTGATAATTTATTTTACTCTCAACATCAGCTGACTAAGCAGAGGTATGAGCAACACACGCAAATTGTATATAAAAGGTTATTGATTAGTGTTTAACTAAATCATGCATTTAACTAAATCATTAATAATTTATTGTTTCTTTGGCAGCTTGCATACACAAACAGTGAAGTTAGTATTCTGTCAGTATTCGAAAAATTAGTAACGCTAACCTACCTGTTATTAAAAATGCTGAAATATGAGGGATAAAAACGAAGCCGGAGGGATAAAAACGAATGTGATTACCCAAACTTGGTTGTTAACATTTTTTTTCACCGTTTAAAATTTTTGTTTTTGGTCAATGAAAGTTATTGGAAAAAAAGTTTATACTATCACTACGAAAAAGGTGTTTACTTTTTCTAATTTGTAAATCTACGCTACTCCTCTGGTAAAAGCAGCAGCCTGAAAGTACACGTTCTACGTTGTTCGAATCTCTATCCCTTCCTTCTCCATAGCGATCCTAGCAGAGATGCTCAAATTTGATTTTTTATGTCATGTATCCCAGAGACAGTGACAACAGAAAATTTGTTTTTAACGATCGATAGCTTGTGAGACCTGCAAAAAAAATGTCTAGAAAGGTGTTGTATTCGATGTTTTGTTTTTTTCCTGTTACGTTTTTACAAATGGTCACTCCAGTAATCAGTGGGAGGGGGGAGGGTAAAGAGCTATAATCGAATTTAAATTTGATGAAGCAGTTTTTGTGTAATTTATACGAGCAAATAAATTATTTATATGGCAAACTATCTGACATGCAATGATATTAAGCAGACTGCATGCGAGACTTGAAGATTTGTCCCTCGTAAAGCTCCGTTTCTCCGAGTATCCCGTCCTTCACTTGAGAAATTCCTCTAAAATGAGGGACATCACTGATGCCCGTCATTTCAGATTAATCTGTTCCACACTGGAATTGTTACAGTTGGCAATCCTGACCATCCATCACGCAACGAATAACATCGCTTTTTTTTAATTAGCTCTCACTTGAAACACTTGGCGTGTACGCAAGTCATTTAATCAGAAACAAATGTTGAAAAAGAAGTGTATATTATAAAGTCAAAATCATGCCAATAAAACAGATCACACAAAATTACACAGCATACGAGTTAACTTCAGTTTTGTTGAAAAGCAAGAGCACATCCTCATTCAATGTGTATACCTTCTTGATAATAAAGCGTTGGGATGAGAAACAGCAGACAGTGGAAGACGATATTTTGATTTCTGTATATGTACTCGTTTCGAAGTTACTTTCATGGTACGAGATTGTGACTACAAACAAGTTGAAATAGAAACGAAAAGAAAATTCATTGTGGAAAAATCAGAATAGTTCAGCCTTGACAATTGCATTACTCTATTCTATGATACTGTTTCCACCGTACTTTCAAAAAGGTTCAAAGCTAAACTTTTGAGCTGAACTTTTCTGATGTTGGAAGAAAAAACACTTCTAGATCTATGGGACATATTCAAAACGACGACTAACCTGAAAACGGCTATGCTTGAAAACAAAAAGGCGTCAACAGATTTGGTTCATAGGAAAAAATAAAAAAAATACTCACGAGCTCCACTTTTTGAATATTTTCGATGTATAGGATGCTTAATTTAAAACAAATCTAATTCTGAAAAAATAACAGTTACGATAAAAAATGAAAATGCGCTTGAAGATCTGTGTAAATCTGTACTACATAGTGTTTTTCATTTCTTTGTACGTGAAAGACAGACGAACAACGATGTGTAGTATTATAGTAATATTTGTTTTCGATCTTTGCCACGCCACGAGTGATATATGACACAAAGAAATAAAAAATAAAAAATACTAGTATCGAAACATACACATTAGATAGATAGATATAAATACAAGAGTTTTTTCGCCACGTTGTATTCTCGTATATGGACAAGATGATACAAGATTCAGGGGGAGCACCTCAGAAAGGTTTTTTTTCACTCTGTATCTGATTCGGCTGAAACTTTTGAAGAATTTAGTATATCGTATTTGTATGTATTAAAAAAAATTTTGTTTCAAAAGAGTCAATCATTCAAAAGTTATAGATGGCGTAAGGGTCAAAATGGTCAAATGTTAGAAAAACCGCTAAGTTTTTTTTGTGGTTATAGGCGCAGAGATATGGTGTCTTGAATTGGTCTAAAAATTTATATCTATCTGGGTGTCCATTGGATTTCTTATTCGTTGTCTGACGACAAATATTTTAAGATCAAAATCCTAGAAATTGCATTCGAAACTTTTACAGTATGATTTTCTCAAAGCGTCCATGGATAGAAAAAAAGTATCTCATGCGGATCTCTAATCTGCTCTGGCATGCTGACGTCGAGCATAGTGAGCATCATACTAAATAAAAAGACAATTCTCCAATGCAAAGCTGCAGCATTCCAGAAAAATGTTAATAATACCTATTTTAATTTTTATCTAAATGCTGTTCGCATCAGCATCACTTTCTAATGAGAAGAATAACTCTGCGACCTATCAGGTAATCAAAGTTGATTACAAATAGAGTGAGAAAAGTATTTAGCTCTTATAAGTCTGTTTTTTTAGAAAACTTTTAAAAATCAACTGGTAGAATGGAAATAATAGAGACTCTATAATAAAATATATTACGTCATTCATTAAGTGGAGAAACAAAATCGATTTTCTCAGATAGGGACTCTTTTTTATTTCCTTCAGAATATGAGGAACTGAATCTCATCCCCACATCGTAAAATTTAACCTATGGTAAAATACAATCAATTTTATACAAATAAAACCTCACGTAAACGCATTTTTACTTGAAATAATTACCAAATAATGGCTACAAATAGCACGTGCTAATAATTAATCATATGGTAATTTTCTTTTTCTCTTACTCTATGAGTGTGTGTAAAAACTTTATTCTACTACAATTGATGATGAATGAATGGATGTTTTTCTATGCATTTTTTCATCTATCAGAAGAAAACGAAAAATATATTTTTGTTACGTTTTTTTACCATAATAACAATGTTTTTACATGTACAAGGTCGTGATAGTTGTTTTTTATCTTTCCTCTACAAACATTCTATGCAAAACATGGCTATTTAAGGCAATCAATTCTTCACAATAACGGAAAAAACTTTGTTTCATCAATGAGTTTATAAGTCGACTTTTTTTCAACATGAGTCTCTCAAACTTCAAATTATTTTCTTGGTTTTATCGAAGTTGAATCTTTGAAAAAAGAATATTACCTACGAATTATAACCTTTTCCACAAATCAATCAAAAGTCAAGATATTTATTACTTGCGCATTCTAATATACATAGATTTCCGATTAAGTTTGAATGCTTCAAAAGCTTTTTAGTAATCGAAGAGGGATACATACATAGAATTAGTGACATATGTATGAGATTTAAACTAGAGAATTAACTTTGACTAAGATGTTTGCACTGCAGTTATTAGTCATTCAAAAGATGCTTTACACTAAAGTGCAATCTATTTAACATGAAAAAACTGAAAAACACAGACGACCTTCATTGGTATACGTGCACTTATTTGACTGATAAGACTTTACAAGGTCTTTTTACGAATTAAATTCCGAAAACTCACACTATTAATACTTAAAAGTTAAATCTTTGTTACACAGAGAGACTTGAATTAGATGTTTAATGACGGAAGTTCCACTACGATTCAAATTTGATGTCTCTTTTTTATCAAATTAAAAAAGGCGGCTGAACGTGTTTTATTTATCAGACAACAGATGTTTGAAAATACTTTTTAACTTAGTTTAATCCAAATCCTAAAGCTTTGTAGCTTATACAGCGTCCCGCAAATTGTTCGAGAAGGTAATCTTCAATATTTTCACATTGGTCAATCCCCAGGAGCCTGTGAACAGTGTCATTTTCGAACTCGGTTAACTAACCAAGGATTTGGATTAAACTAAGTTAAAAAGTGTCGTGTGAACGTGGCTTAACCGAGTTCGAAATGACACCGTTCAGACGCTCCTGGGGATTGACCAATGGGAAAATCACCTTCTCGAATAATTTGCGGGACGCTGTATGAGCTACAAATGCGCTTCGAACTGCATATGTGTATAAGTTATTTGACCATAACGCATGTGTAGTAGGTGTAGCTAATCACTGATTGATCGATGTTTAATAGGGGGTCCTTAACCGAGTTCTATAAACTTGGTTAACTTCAAGTTGGCAAATTGCCAAACTGAGTGCGTCCACACAGGACAGGATTGGAAAGCTTAGGATTAAACTAAGTTAAAATGTGCCGTGTGAACGTGGCTTTAAATACGTACCAAATCTCGATGTCTAATATGGAGAATATTGCGCTACCCTAACAATCAAAGACGTACTCAGAGGGTCAAATGTGTGATGAATTATTTATTTTCCTCGTATAAAATTTTTTTCAACTACAGTTTATTCCCTTGGTTATAAATGGCTATCAAAAATTATGAGTACGTCGTTGCTAACGATAGAAACTATTACTGTGTATGAACTTCTTCACACTGTACAGACCGTTTGAGTTAGATTAGACCAAAAATCGAACAATAATTATTCCATAGAAACGTATCTATTCCTTCTTCAGTGTAAGATCAAGAAACTATCAAAAAGCATTGCGCAATTCTTACGCAATTATTCCGTCAAAAACAATTGCGAAATAATTTTTAAAAGTGAGCAAGAGAGAGAGAGTACGTGCGTCAACATTTTTTTTATGCAGTGCGTTCTTTCGTGTTCGTCACAATTTAGGCTCTATTGCCCGAAGTTTTGTACTCCTATATTTCCTATCATCTCTGCTCCGTTGCAATTCAGCTAGCCCAAAAGGCTGTGAAAAGCATAACGAAGAAAAGCACAGATCCTAAAAAGAGATAAAGCCAAAAACTCATTCGCAACAAATATAGAATTAAGTTTTTCGATTTATATCAAGCTATCTATGTCGATCGACCAAACCATCGATGAATCATCTCTATGCGAGAACGGTCCAGTCAATGGTCAATTGATAGAACAGAACAACAAGTAAACAGGGGTTATTGTCACTCTATGTAAAAGCAATGGTGAATAGACAATTCTAGTCGAAATTCTTTAAAAAATTGATTGCCGTGTACGTTAATCGTGTAACCTACAACGTACAGATGTCGTTCTGTTTCAAGTTCAGTTTTTAATCTTTCTTTTATCAGAGTGACCATAGCACTCCTTAAGAACCATTTCAGATAAGCAACGGCAGAGTTACGTAGAATAGTGCCCAAATGTATATGTCACAGATCTCAGCCAAACCAGCCATGATGTAAATTCAAACTTTTCTGAGTAAAAAACAGCATAGCCATCTTCGATATCAGCAACTCAGTACTCAGTAGCTCATATGTTCGTAAATACACGAGAGAAGAGCAAGAGTTGAACTTTTTACACAAATATAACTAACATTCCACTTTAATGTAAAACAATCTCAGCTCGATTGATGGTTTCGGGTTATTGAAAAAAAATAGGTGTCCATCGAAAATTGCTACTTCTGCTGTACTACGATTTTTATTCGAATAAAACCGAGTTGAAGCCTGAAACTTTCAGATCTAGTAGCACTTTAGTTGATCTATCCATTGGTCCATTTCAAAGTAGATAGAAATGTTTCAACTTAATAGAAGCCTGCTCTAAAGTTGGCAAAATATTCGTTCAGAGAGTGTATAAAGTTATCCAAGTCGACGCGTACGATCTGTGTTACGCTCCGTTCATGTTGCGAACCGTCACACTTGGGACGTATACAGACAGAATGACACATGAAACAAACAAATTAGACAGCAAGAAAGAAAAAGACTGAATAATTTATCACATATATGTGATAAATAAATCCCATAATCTGTAAAAAACATAACTAAAGAATTCTATTGAATGCTTTTTTTGTTTTGAAATATTCTCATGTTATTAAATCACTTGATTGCTGCTGTCGCCACTTTTCAATAGGTCTTCGATCAATTTTTGAAACTTTTCGGAGATATGTCGACAGAAGTGTATCTTCACGACATCTCTCAAACTTTTTTCATTTGGTGTCCGCCAATGAAAACGCACATCCAACTTCTCTACTGTAATATTTCTTGGATTGTGATTTACGTCAAATTATTCACGACTGAACGAAGTCACCGTATCCAATTTTTTCCACATCAAGAGGAATTGCTAGCAGCAATACTCAATAAGTAAATTCTAGCTCTGAATTTGACGAAAATTAGTCGTCGTAAATCTGTATAGAAAAAATCTGTTTTGTATTTTATATTTAAAGCAGTCTAATGAGAAGATCTGTCGACATTCTGAAAGAGGAGATTAAATTTTGCAAAAAAAGATCGTTTATACTCTAAAGTGGTTCCATACTAGAGATACCGAATCTCAACTTTCCAGCGTGTGTACATATGCTTGTAAATAAGGAGGTTTACTTCATGTCACTTAAATTTAAGTGACACTATTTTCTAGTAGTAAGCAGATAAGCACATAAAAGACAAACGTGCCATGTTTCCCTTTTTTTCTTATATCAATATTTTCGCGATAGATTTCTTAGATGGAAACAAGCATTCTCATTCTTAACCGAAACATAAGAAATATCAACGATAGCTAGAATAATAGAACTGTCAGATAGTGGTGGATTTTTTTAGCAGAGTATAGTGGATGAAAAGGGTAATTTATTTACTTCTTTATGTTGAATTGTTAATATCTAATCCAGACAGAATTCTTCATGTATGGACAATCACACGTCAATAACTCCATAGGTAAGAGGAAGACAAATTTTTTCTATCGTTGGAGCTGAATTTTTTCTCGAATACCTGACAGCGAATATGTCGTAAAATATTTTGCTTTTTTTCTGTGCTTTCTGTAATAAAAAAGCATACAAAAGGACAAATCATGCTGTTTGAGACATACATGTTGTACGGATCAAACTAGTGATAGTCAAATATATTTTCTACTATTTATTTCTAATTATATGTTGTTTATATTCAGACTAGTCAATGTATGCGAATAGAATATAAGCCAGCGGTTTTATTAACAAACTAGTGATATACGTTTTTTACTGTATTTTGAAAGTATTTTGGTTTTAAAGGATGCAATGAAAACCACTTGAATTTGATCATGTCGCTCATTTCATATTTTGTATAGTTATAATAGATTAAAAAAATACAAAATTGTTGATTGCACATGTATTAGCACAATTTTGACCATTTATTAGATTATATCTTGTTTAAATTGCTACTATCAGCCATCAACGAGAATTAATCAGTAAATATGAATTAGATTTATATTGAAAAGAACTCAGCTAAAAGATTAACATGAATTAATCTTTTTATCATTCATTAATTTCTTTAACTTTATTTTTTTTCAATTTCTTGACCACAACTTTTCCTCTTTCTAGACTTACATCAATAGTTTCATTCAAAGTTGATCTGTTCTTTATTTGCGTTTTCATCTCTCAAACTCTAACTCTAACTATTTAATCACTTTCTATATACTATATTAGAGGCAATAACTCTATGCTTGGTTTTTTTTTCTAGATTGAATTATCAATAGATAATTTCATTGAAAATTTTTTTCTGTTTATAGTTTGTAAAAGTGAATAAACAGATGTTTAGGTAAAACTTGTCTTTATTGTAAAATCTATTTGAGAAAACAACAGCTGAAAATAATTTAAGTTTAAACATGACATCAAATTTACAGAAATTAGTTGGAGCAAGTAAGTGTCTAATGTACTTATTGATAAAAGTAGGCTCTACCTTTAATTTTACTTCTATTCCAGAACTGATTAATGATATATTGAGATGTGAATCTGTTCGTCAAAAAGAACGTAATGATTGGAAAGTATTAGTAATGGATCGTTTGGCAACAAGAATTATATCAGCATCATGTAAAATGCACGATATTATGTCGGAAGGAATAACAAGTAAGTAAAAAATTATTTTTCTCTGTTAGTTAGTTAGTTTCATCGGATGTTCTGTTCCTTTACAAACTAGTTGTGGAAGATATTATGAAAAAACGTGAACCATTACCAATGCTTGAAGCTGTTTATTTTATTCAACCGAATGAAAAGGTATGATACTTGAAAATGACTTATGAGATTAACATTTTTTTCTTGTTATTTTAGTCGATGAATGAGCTGGTCAATGATTTTGAAAAGACAGCTGGTCTATATCCAAAATATAAAGCTGCGCACGTTTTCTTTACAGAAGGTTCGTTTTGTCGATTAATACGTTTAATTACTGATTTAATACTATTCTATTTATTGTAGCTTGTAATCCTGAGCTGTTTAATAAACTCATTCGTTCAAAATGTTCAAAATATATTAAAACGTGTCAAGAAGTTAATATTGCTTTTTTACCATATGAACGACAGGTAATAATGGAAAAAAGAGAAGGAACACATTTCTCTAATAGTAAGATGAGCTCTGAATATAAATATAGCTCCATTATTCCTTCGGCATCTTATTTAAGTAAATAGTATTCATTTTTCAACTTTGAATGCTCTTTATTTGTTTAGGTATTTACATTGGACTCACCCGAAACATTTTATATAAATTTTAATCCAAACTCTACTCAACAACGTATGGTACATCTTGACCGCATCGCTGAACAAATAGCAACATTATGTGCTACATTAGGCGAATATCCTTCAATTCGTTATCGAGGGTATTTATTGTTAACTACGTTCATTATTCTGCTCTTCATATCTTGATTTTGTTTTGTTCACAGTGAAAATGAAAAAATGGTTGAATTCGCACATGCTGTTCAACAAAAACTCAATCAATATAAAGCAGATGATGCTACAATGGGAGAAGTAAATTAAAATTAATTTTTACATTTTCACTATCGCACTGTTTATATGTTGATCTTTTTCTTAGGGTGCCGACAAAGCAAAATCTGTTTTATTATTGTTAGATCGTGGCTTTGATGCAGTAACACCTTTATTACATGAATTAACATTCCAAGCAATGGCATATGATCTTTTAAAAATTGAAAATGACGTTTTTGAGTATGTGAAACTAGCTCTTTTTCAGGTTACAATGTTATGCTGTTTTTAAACTTAGATATGAATTACAAACTCCGGGTGTTGATCCAAAAGTGACACCGGCACAAAAACAAAAGGTTTTGCTTGATGAAAATGATGATCTATGGACAGAATTACGTCATCAACATATAGCTGTTGTAACACAGTAAGTGTTTTTAGTTAAGAAGAGTAATGAATTGTTACTATCTATGTGCATATCTTATACATTGTAGAAGTATAACAAAGAAAATCAAAGATTTTGCTATACAAAAACGTGTAAAAGAAACGGATCGTGAACGTACAACAATGAAAGATCTATCGACAATGATAAAGAAAATGCCTCAATATCAAAAAGAATTGAATGCATATGCTCTTCATTTTAATATAGCTGAACAATGCATGAATACATATAATAGAGATTTAGGAGAAAAATTATGTTCAGTTGAACAAGTATGAATTTTTATACATTTTTTTTTCTAAAAATCTCATGTCTTATAATACTCTTCTTTTTGTCCTTTTTATAGAATCTCGCAATGGGAACGGATCCTGAAGGAGAACGAATAAAAGATCATATGCGAAACATAGTTCCACTTTTACTCGACACAGTTATTGCAATTGAAGATAAATTACGCATTATTATGCTTTATATTTTACATAAAAATGGTGAGTACTGATACTTTTTCTGTTTATTTAAATATAGGAGATAATTAGAGTAGTACAAGTACAGAAAAATATATATGTTACTAGACTGGAGTCATATACCATTTTTTCTGTGGATCTTGATCGATAATGTTACTATGTGAATATTTCATACTCTATTGAAAAGCTTTCTAGAAGATTTATATTGTATGCTATAGTACGAACTCTGATTGATATAATCTGAAGCTTTAATTATAAATCAGAGTTTTTCATTAAATTATGGATTTTTTTGTAGTAAAACTCAGTAAATGTAGATTTAAAGTACAGTAACTTGCTATTTCAACTAGAGGCTGTTTTTAATGCCATTTGAACCAGATATTGGGTAGCACAGTCAGTAATCATATGACCATATTTCGAAGGCATGCTTCGTAATCATGTTTTAGAAAAAATAATCTCGAAAAACACCATGCTTTTGTCATAAATTTGAAATACTTTTACTTCTAGGAAAAGTATCGAAACATCATCGATACATTTTGGGCGAATTACGTCTGAGTAGCTTTGCACTTGTCTAATATAGTCTAGTCTTCGATAAGATATCATTCTTGAGACTCAAAGAGAGGAACAGAGAGAATATTTATGCGTTTTATTGTATACCTGTGTATAATATAGTAGATGTATTTTGTTTATAGCTTATTGTTCTACAGCACCGGATACACTAGGTAACGATTGTGTGGGTTGATAAGAACAGTTTCTGGCTGATTGTTCTTAATTTGTGTTTCTTAACAAATTATTGATTTGGGGTTCCCTCTATTTCACGGTGGTGTGAGAAATAATCAGCGAAAGAGTTTTGATTCTTTAAACAAATCACGTGTGCATGTTTCTACTAGAGGTTTAATGATATCGTTAATCATCAATGCTATAATAATACAAGTATTGACTTGAAGAAAATTTATAAAGAAAAACATCTGTATGACAGAGTTCAATATGCACTGTACTCGACTCAAAAGTTTCTGAAACGATAGACTCGAACAGTTTAAATTGTTCTGGTAATAATTAGTTTTCAAAAAGTCAATTGGATGCTGAAGAGAGTAGAGAGAGAGAGAGAGAGACAAAGAGAGGGACAAACAAGTTAAGTTGAAACTTATCAATGAAAATTATTCTTATTGTGCTTTTGAAGACATTTATCTATCGATTTTAAAATTTGCCCCATTAATTGGATCATAGACTCAATCAATTGAACATTTTTTTCAAGACCATATGGAGCTCTGTTGTATTAAGATGTGCAGTAATAATGTAAGATTATTATAAGCGATTTTTTTATCATATAACATAGCGGTATAGGGTTTTAAATCTGCTTTTAATCAGTATCGGGTTGACTCAGTGGCACATTTTGCTAATAATGGAAAACTGAACCACACAGCACTAATACATTCTTTTGATTCCACTAATTTCATTCCATCATCTGTTCTCATTGCTATTGAAAGGTTGACCTAATCTACTAAAATATCTTTTGCTATATTGAATAGGTATTACTGAAGAAAATCTAGACAAATTATTAAGTCATGCATTAATACCAACAGATAAGAAGAATGTAATTACAAATATGCAACATTTAAATTTACAAATTTTACAAGATCAATCAAGAGTAAGTTTATAAAATTCAATATTATTATTCCCAGTCATTTTGGAAAAAGAACCAAGAGATTGAAGCATACTAATATCTATGTTTATTGCTTCCTATCCTCTAAATGCGTGTGTTTGCAGCGCGCAAGTGGCGCTTCGCCAGATATTGGGCGTTCAACTGTGCATATAGCAACAGAGTTGTTTATTAAACCAACGGGGGTAATTCATGTGTAAAAGTTGACGGAAAAATATAAAAGCCTTCGTTTATTTCTAATTCACTGTTCTAAACACTCACCCACGAGCATGCATTATATGTGGTTAATGTAGAAATTATTTTTTTTTTATCTTCCGTGCTTTTTTGCACAATAAAAACAATTATTATTTGTTCTTTTTATCAAGTCGAGTTCCGAGATATTGTCTTACACAAACTTTCCTCATAGCATGAATGGATTGTAGTTCTACCGTTTTTGACCATTTCTTTTTTTTTTGCCTTATTTTTCGGCTTGTGTCTAATGTTTCTTAAAACATGTCTTATTTTAAACACAAAAAAAGTATCAGATTTTGAGAAAACAAATAGATTTTCTCTAAACTTTGGTCTAATGTTTTATTGTTTCTAATTTGGTTACATGTTTTATGATTTGCATGAAAGACCAGTTTTGTTTTCCATTAATACTTGTAAGCATTTCATTTATTATTTTCATGTTCGGTAGTATTTTATCGTTTATTATTTGCTCATCATCAAAACACTTTTATAGGCTGGTCGACGAAAAAATATTCCACAACCACGGAAAGAACGTTTGGAACCGACATATACAAATTCAAGATGGACACCTTATGTTAAAGATATTATGGAAGTATGTATTTTCGTTTAGTAAATGAATAAACGACAATATAATTATTTTCATTACTTTTTAGGATGTTATTGATGAGAAACTTGACTTGCGATCATTTCCCTCACTTGGACAACAAAGGAATATATCATCAAATTTTCCTGCTCAAAGGTAAGAAATATTCACAATATAATCACTCTTAATAGTCATCGTGATGTCTTAATTGATATCTTAGTTCAAGAGAATTTGGAGCGTGGATGCATGCTGGACGAAAAGGAGCGGCTGGTCGTTCTGGACCGAGACTTATCATATTTATACTTGGTAAATTAATTCGTAAAAGAAACGTTGATTTTGTCTCTACAAATAGAAAATGTTTTTAGGCGGTGTAGCATACAGCGAATTACGTTGCGCATATGAAGTAACACAAACAAATTCAAAAAAATGGGAAGTTTTTATAGGTAAGTCATGAATATTTTGGATTCATCAAAGCTAAATTACTGCAGATGAAAAAAGAAAATCACAGATTTTATATCATTGTCATAGTGAGACTATTGTTTTCCATTTTAAGATGAATTTCAACGATATATTTTTCTCCCGTATCAAATTCTACAATATATAACTTCATTTGCATATTTTCTTCTTGTTTAGGGGGTGATCATATTGTCACACCAAAACAATTTCTCAAAAATTTAGAAATGAAACCACCGAAAGAGGATGAACAATGACACATAGATGATCAAATAGCGAAGCCATAGCCTATACATTTCCAAATCACAAATTTTTTCTCATATGTATGTATATATGCACACATTATACCAGATCAGATGTCTTTTTTTTTTTTTCTCGAAATAATTATTGTACTTTTCATTCTTGTTTATATGTTTGTATTTATTTGTTGCTTTCGTATTTGACACGCTTTTCTTTCTTTTTTTTCTATTTAAAAGAAGTATTTTCTAACACATGTCTTTAGATGTTGTTTGTTATTATTGCTCTTTTGTATAAAATTTCGTTGTAATCCACCGACAGTACTTTCAAATCTACAGATTAACCGAGTTTTTGCACATGCATATCGATTAGTGTGTTTTAGCTTTTTAAATGCTTTCAATAAAACGTATGCAATTTATACAATTGAAAAAGAAATAAACGTCTATTTAATGTAAGCTTTTAACGCGAACAATAAATCATCTTTAGTCACTATGACTAATAAACGAAAATTGAAAGGAGAACAGAAAAAAAAAATAACTTCAGTATTGATTATATAACCAGTTAGTTATTAAACTTTTATCTATCTCTTGAGACTAGGACTATTTTTAATAAGATATGATTATTATACGACTATTTTTACATATTTCGTTAATAGATTTCTTTCATTCCCTTTTTTTTTCATAATTCAAAATATTCAACTTATCAAAAGTCTAATTTATAATCATCACTATAAATTTATATGATTATTTATTAATTTGAGTAGACAGTTTATTCTTAGAAGTTTTATCGAGTTAACAAATGCATATCAAACGAGGTATTTTTTTTTTTTGTTATTGTTGAGATCTTCTATATTCAAAATACTTGGCACTTCAGAATTTATCCATGATTGAGGTGCTTCGTTGACTGGCAGCTATAGATATTGCTTTTACTGTTTTCCTTCACTCTTTCATGCTCTGCTTCATCGGGATTTTGTTTTTGTGCAATTCTTCAAGTATATGTGTTCGAGTTTTTTTTTTCATTTCTTTTTATTGTTCTGTCGAAATAAAGAATGATGAAGAAAATATTATTGAGTGCAATTATCTGTTTTTCTCTATAATAGAATACTCATTTTTTTCTCATTTAATCTCTATCTATGCTATCATCCTAACAGTACTTTATTTGTGCTCTTTTCTTTGACAATTAGTAACGTATATTTTGTTCTTCTACCTGTATTATTGTTCCAACCTTTATATAGATAAATTTAATTAATAGAACGAGTAATAGATGCAAGTGATCTCTGCTCTGATCAAAAACTGTTAAATTAAAAAAATGACTTTGAATCTCGCTAGGACCACTTTTGAACTGGAAATATCATTTTTCTAAAGTTAATCAGAGGCGCAAATAACGGGAGGGTGTGCACCCGTCCCCGAATAATTGAAAAAGCTGGTGTTATTTTATCCATTATTCCTGGCACAAAAACTTTTTTTATCAATTTGATACTGCCTCAAAGAGAAATTTTGTTCCCCCCCCCCTATGTTCTGCTTCTATTTGCGGCCCTGAATTTAATGAGTATGGAAAAAGATCTATGTCATAAAAATATTTTGAAAAGTTTAGCTTCAAACGTATTCCATTTCTTAAGGTTAAAAACTGATTGCTTACAATACATAAGACGTCAAGTTTTCGTAGATATTTAAAATATGAAATTTCATTGAACTACTTCTTGTTGTCTTTCTTAGTGGAATGCTTTTTTCAGCACTCTTCGTCTTTTTTCTTTTAACACAGTGATTTTACCGTCTAGTTTTTCCTATATGTTTTTTATATTATCTTTTCTTATTTTTGTTGTGCATATTTATTTTTTAATTTCTTTGTCGTATATGAAGAGAAGTTTCTTTTCAGTTCATATTCGTTTCTGAATTGCTTTTTCTTGGTAATTTCTGTATTTTAAATAAAAATTCTGTACGTGCATTTACTAAAAAAGAAACGAAGAATATCATGGAACAAAGCTAAGAACTCCACTACTTTGAAAGGATAAGTCTAAAGTGAAAATGTGAAAATGAATAAAAATAAGATACGAGATGATAACGAAAGTCAATTTGTATTTTGAGCAAATTATTGAACAAATTTATTCTCATATTTACTTATCTTGCTTATAACACTTTTCTTCGGAATCGATTCATTTTTCTAATCCACCCATTATTTAGCTGGTTTTTAAATTAAATTGTTTACAATGTTTCACAAAACATGTTCGATAGTCAAAACGATTTATAGTCCTATATAACTTGATGCATACTATAAGACCCAATCAAAAAAAAGGTCAAAAATAGGAGTATAAAGGTGTACTCCGTTTTCGGAGCACTCCTTTTGAAAAAAGTCACTAAGAGCACTCTAGAGTACTCTTTGTTTTGGAGTAGCCCAGAATACTCCTCAAAAAAAGAGCGTTTCGGAGCGCTCCTTTTTATAAAGTGCAGCCGAGGCACTGCAGAGCACTTTAAAAAAAGTGTAGTTTTTGGAGTACTCCTTTTGAGAACACGCACTTTGAGTACTTCGGAGTAATTCTTAAAAAAGAGTTATCGAGATTACTCTTTTTTTGGAGCACTCTTTTTAGGAAAAAGAGTACTCCTTTCTTTTTTTTCCAAAAAGAGTGTTCTATCATACTCCTCCTCTTGATATTTTTTTTGACTGGGGATATCTAGTTTAGAAATTAATTTTGTATGAGAAAAAATTTTGCTTTCAGATACTTAATTTTCCAGAAAGTAGTTTTAAAGTACTTAAAAGATGTTATAATGTAAAAGTTTACAGGTTATACACAATAAATTACTTTTACATGTCAAATACTATATCGTATCTAATCTTTGCAATGATAAAATGTGAACTAAGAGTAGTTGATTCATCATTGTAAGATATAATAGAAACATCAGAATTTCTATATAAAAGATAAATGATATTGTCAAAGAAAAATCGTTCTATACACGTTTAAGTTTTTTTCATATTTATTAAATTAAAAAAATTATTATTGATAGATTTGTTGTAGTTTAAGTTTAGAAATAAAATTTTAACTTTGCACAGAAGTTTTTGAGTCAAATTATGAATATGAGTATATTGATACCGATTAGATTTTAGATTTCATTGAATATTTGAATGTCTTATTTGGATTCACTTAATTTACTTCAACCATTAATGGTTTCTGCATTAAAGATTGATTATAATCCATTAGTATATAATGCCAAAGATATTTCAACAGATATTGAAAATAAAATTGATTCAAAATGGTCGGAATTAACGAATAAAAACGATAAAATTTTGTTTAATGATTTAAAATTTCGATTATACGCCTCGAAAATCAATGATAATAAGCAATTAGAATTAAAATTGGGTTTAACAGATTATAAACATTTTATTGGTACTCAACAATCCCTACCAGATATAACATGTCAATTACAATCACTGGGAAAACAAGTATATAGTGATGACAGAGCTTATTTATCTTATCCACTTGGTGTCGGTTTATTATTGATAACATCTGATAATAAAATTGTTTTATTAAAACGAAGTTTATCATGTGCCGAATCACCTGAAATTTTTGATCGACCAGGTGGACATCCAGAACCGAAGTAATTTGAGATTTTAATCAAATTATTTCTAGTTAAGAATAATTTTATTTCTTTTTGGGAACATTGACCTGAATCATGTGGCTGATATCGATTTAAATATCGTAAATGAAATAAATCAATCTGTGATACGTGAATGTATTGATGAAACGAATGTTGACCCATTTACATTAAACTACGAATCATTGTGTATAATTGCACTCATTGAAAATCAGAAAAGTTATGGACGTCCTAGCCTTGAATTTTGTATGAAGTAAGAAATAAGTTGCATTCTATTTGACTTAGTTGGTTGATATTGTTTATTTTGTGTGTAGAACATCACAATCATCTGATGAATTGAGAATACATTATAATTTGCAGACACATATTGAATCAAATGAAAGTAGTGAAATCAAATTTTGGCCTATTGAACAAATTGATGCATTATTGAATGATGATTCTATGTTTATCATTACTGTCGCTTGTCAAGGAGCATTAAATGCTTTCCGTCGGTTGTTTATTAAATCGATAAATTCTACTATATAAATATTGTATGTTAATTCGTGTTAAATAAAAAACGTTTATAATATCCAATAGGCGCATTGTCGATATTTTAAGATGCTAAAAAACTGGTTGTATTCGAATTCCTACCTAATATTTTGTTATTCACACTATTTGGTGCTAGGTCAATTCGTCGCGGACGGTTCGTTGCATGAATTATTTGCCGCAGTTCTTTTTGTTGCAGTCATTTGGCCTCGGATAATTTGTGGCAGTTTTTTTCGTCGTGCATAATTTGCAGTGGACAATTTGTCGCTAGTGTTTTCGTTGCAGACCTTTTGTCGCAGGAATGATTCGTCGCATTGAGTGAAATGGATAATCAATCGTACCTATGGTAACAGATTTTTCTCTTGTGTTTCTCTCCGATGTTGTTGATCTCTTATCACTGAAAGAGAGCAGAAGTGCAGCTATCTTATTCGTTTTTCCTGATAAATTATATCTTTGATTTAATACTGATTTCGGTTACGTCCATGGGATATTTGAGCAAGGTATAGGGCTGACCACCGTGATAAATCATTGGCTTCCCTTTCTCAGTCAAGAGCTTGTGAATGTCAAACAATTGAAGGATGTGAATGTAAACAATTGGAAAGAAATACTTTTGAGCAATTCCTAGTCTATGTGTACAAGAGCGATAGGAGGGATTGATAGAAGAGAAAAATCAAAGAAAGTAATCAGACGATATAAATTATCAGGAAAAACGAATAAGGTAGCTGCGCTCACTTCTGGTCCCTTTCGGTGATAAGAGATCAACAACATCGGAGAAAAACCCAAGAGAAAAATCGGCTACTTTAGGTATGATTGATTATCCTTTTCACTCGATGCGACGAATCATCCCTGCGATAAAAAGGTCTGCAACGAAAACACCGACGTTAAATTGACCGGTCACCAAAAGAGTTTCATGTAAAAGCAAATGCTGATTGCGTATATTGAAAAATATTTGTAGAAGAGAGTAAGTTCAAACAGAACATCGTTCTTCTGGGATAATAAAGAAACTACTTTTTGATACAAGGTAACTGGCAACTCAGATAAACTCGGCTGATTCATTTACAATCAATTTTCGATGATATCGGTTTTTTGGAAGTCTGAGAATAGGTGGTTGAATTTTTTTCCAATTTTTGTCTTAACAAATTAAACCATGCGAATAATCATTGAATTTTCTGTTAATTTTTATTTTTTATCATTTTATATGTGACTATTTTTATTTTGTATTTGTCAGTTATTCTATAGATACAAAGAATAAAGTTGAAAAAATATTTATTACTCAAAAAATTCTCTCTTCGTTTATTAGTAGTCAATTAAGAAATATCAAAGGTTTTTTATTTTATATCGTTGATCAAAACTACGTAGTCTAGTCTTGTTCAGTTTTCGTTATAATAATGAATCATTTATTCTAAAAATCACTGGACTTGATCTTTAAAATTGTAGAACTTGGCGGTTTTAAACTAGCTCCTACTCAGTGTTTGATTAATGATAGATCGTATTATTTTGACTTTTACAAGAGAATTACACGAGTCAACGTAGAATTAATATCGAAGAACTGTTATTTTCATTCTTATCACTAGTGGCCATTTCAAAATTGACTGATTATAGATGAATAGTATAAATATAAATATCAATTAATTGAAGTAAAATTAGATTTGAAACAGAAAATACTTGTTCCTGTAAAATATTCATAGCAGTAGTGAGAGTAGAGTTACAGCTGCTAATCAGAAATCCAATAAATACAAAATAATTGACAATACTTGAACATAAATGAAAATTAATTAGAGATCACAAAAACAAAAACAAATAATAGATGAATAAACATGTTAAGAGTAGTAAGATAATGATTTGAATATATTTAAAATGAACATTCAAAGATACCAAGCACAAATAAGATGAATAGATAGTAATTGACAACGAGCAATGATTTTGCAATATTATTTTTGTCTGTTTCATACGTTAGGTCAATCATCTGATGTACTCATCTACTTGTTCATGTATGCATAGGTTTTAAAATTATTTTATTCCATTTTTAAGATAGTTGGAGAATTATGAAATACTGTTATCTAATTAATAGACTGTAATTTTTTTTTTTTTTTATGAATCAGAGATATTTATCATAATGATTAATTTCTACAATTTGTCGAGCATTATATTGTTCTATTGAATTATTATTATAGATGAATGAACCCAACTTGACACAAAGTAAAGCAAAATAAATAACAGTTGCTATGATTATCAACAATAACCCAATACTAATTTACAATTAAAAAACATAGATATAAAATACGATAATGGAGAAAAAACAGACGTATTTATTCGTTTAATAATTATTGAGAAGAAATAATAGAAAAATTTGGCAAAAAAAAAATATACTATCTTGATTTTCATACTATGACATGGTTTTATCTGAATGGAAGAAATCCTTTAGAGATTGATACCATAATTTTCATTTCATTAGTTAGTCATTTAAATTGTGATACACACTCACAGCTCTAATACTAGAAAAAAACTATAGACGTTCACAGAACTACGTGTAAAAATAAAGGATTAGTATAGAAAAAATAGTACTTTGAATAAAAATAGAAAATTGTTTGTATTGTCGTTGAACGCTTTGAGAGAGAAAATATCACAATATAGAAGAAAATATACACAAACTTTTGTTCATCTGATTCATAACAATTTCCTAAAAATGTCTAAGACACTGATTTTTACGCTCATTCTCTATAAGAGAAAATTAGCATAGTTAGTCGAAAAAAATCAATCATGATAAGTTCTGTGTGATGATACATCCGTAATATTTTTTAATTCTCCTTGTATAGATGATATGAGATTTTTTGTAGTAACAAGACTCTGTCTAGCTCCTAAATATTTATCTCTAGAATCATTTCGACCTAATTGTCGATTATCAAAAGCAACTTCATATGGATTTAAATAAGATCGATTTTGAGATTCTATTTTACCGAATTTCTGATCATTTATGGGCGCTTGTCGTACTTGTTGTTGATCTTCTTCCCATGTTCGAGATATATGTTGTCTCAATTTATTATTTTCGTTCATTGGAAAATTTGATTTTGTCGAATCAACATAGACATCCTCGATATCGAACGTATGTTGCCGTCTTTTGTCAATCGATTCTGCTGTTCTGGATCGTTCTCGACTATTATCTGAAATATTTCTCGTATCATTTTGACGCATCAACACTTCTTGACTTGTTTCAATACGCGTTCTTGGAACACGTTTCTGTGATGCAAAAGTATCTGTACTAGTCATTGAACGATCTGGTAAATTGTTTACACTATTGATAAACAATGTATTATTTGTTCGTTGTGAATATTTTGTTTGACTCGGTGATGGCGGTATATCTTCATCATCTGACGGATATTTACTACGTGTTCTAAGTGATGTAGAACGAGATATTTCTGCTGCACGATCGCCGGCATCGTATGGACTATAGCGTAAACGCATAATATTTGGATCTGGACGATCGGTTACTGGTGCAATAAAAGGTATATGATGTTGTTGTTGTTTACGATCTTCAATAATCGAAATAGATGAGTCTTCACCATAATTATTCTCATTAGACGATGCACGACGCCGTTGTCTACGACGTTTCAACATTTCCGACTTCGAAAAGGGATCTATCTCTTCATCAGTTTTATCCAACACTTCACCTAATAAATGATGTAATTTTGTTCGTCCAACTTCAACTTCAGGTTGGTGTGGTATACGTTTTGGCGAATGAACCGAATAGGATGTTTCGTTATATTCTCGTTCATCATTTCCATTAGACATTCGTACGGGTTCACCATTTTCATTGGACATTCGTACGGATACTTCTTGATTATTGTCAAATGCTGGATTTTCGTATTCATAATTTCGCATGCGAGATGTGGGTTGAGATTGAAGAGAAACTGAAATATGTATAAGAATGATAATTTTCACAAAAACATTAGGGTTGTTGTAGATTCGGAAAAAATGATCTATCCGGACCTTCTGACCAGGTTCGATTATAGAAGAGGTAGTTTCATTAAATAGAGTGAACAAACTTTCCTTTTAATTTTTCACATTCTACTACAGCAGATATGAATGATATGATAAAAATAGAATGGCTAACTCATCGTTTTAAATACTTCGATCAATTAAAGAATAAATACATAACTCGGAAAAGATAAAGCAACTTTCGTCTTCATGTTTATTTCGAGCAGCACATTGTTATCTATTTTAGATAATGTCAGAGAAATTGGTACTAACATTTGGCGCAGCATGTATCGATTACATTGCAGTTTTCGATACATTTCCGAAACCGGAAGATAAAGTGCGGACACAAAGTTTAACGTTGTGCGGCGGTGGAAATGCAGGAAATACGAGCACTTGTTTAAGTCGTTTAAATATAAATACAAAAATTGTATGTAAAATTGGAGACGATGGAAATGGAAAGAAAATTTTACAAGATTTTAAAAATGATAATGTTAATACACAAGAAGTATTGATTAAACAAGGAATGACCACATCCTTAACATATGTTATAGTTGACATTACTAATGCAACGAGAACATGTTTATTCAGTCCTAGTGCAGAAGAAATTTTAGTGGATGATGTAAAAAAGCTGGGACAGAGTTGGCTAAATGGAATTGATTTGGTACATTTTGACAGTAGATCAACCCCAGCTGCGGTAGAACTTGCACGTCTCGTTAAGCAAAATAATATATTATGTACACTCGATTTAGAAAAATATCGTCCATCATTAGAAAACTTATTACTACTGATTGATTACATTGTCACTACAGAACGTTATTCGCTCAGTTGCAATGAAACACCAGTCACTACAGCTGTTCGTTTACTTAAATCCGATCGATGCAAATTTGTTGTTATTACAAAAGGAAAAGATGGAAGTATGCTTGTTCAAAAACGTATATTGGAAAATAAAAATGAAAATTTCAATCGAGTTTCAAAAGAGAATATTGTCTATGATGATATAGAATACGATGTGATCAATTGTCCATCATGGCCAATTGATCAAAAAGATACTATGGACACGACTGGTGCCGGAGATGCATTTATCGGTGGAATAATTTTTTCAATATTACAAAAATGGTCAATAGAAAAAATGATGTGTTTTGCATCTTATGTGGCAATGAGAAAATTAAAAGGTCTTGGGGCACGAATGACGTTACCAAGATTAGATGAAATTAACTTTTCTATTTTTGATTAATGTATGCTTACCCGATGTTGATGGTACTGCATCTTTCAATCGATCAAGTTCAGTGAGTGGAGACTGATAGAATTGTTCAAATTTTTCTTGCATTCGAATCTTATTTCGCCATTGTTCAACTTCATTTTTACTTCTTATACTCTCTCGAATATGAAGAGGTATATCAGACGATTTCGGTAATTGCGGAGGAATGTCGACGATGTTTTCGTCGTTGAGTTGTGGTCTTGGCGACATGTGTTTCGGTTGTTGTTGATCTAATGGATTTGATTGTATCAGATCGACAATTGTTGGTGCAGATTGACGTTCTTGAATATTATTGTTATTCTAAATAAAGTTAAAACATTCAATAAAAAATGTTTAATTTTGTACTTTTATCTGATTCAAACTTACTGTGCTTCCTGCAGCATTTAATAGTGGTGCTTTTCTGCTTGACTCAGGTACACCGGAGGGTATCTAGAAAAAAATTTTTGTTTGTTTTTGCTAGTGACATTTAATATAGTTGAGTAATGTTTACACTGAATATATGTACGATCTAGTAAGTAAATGTTGATTTAATCCTCATAAGTACTTCGGTACAAAAGCGCCCGAGAACAAGACTTACTTTTCCAGTATGCGTTTTGTTATTATTTCTTGGTCGACACTTGAAATGAAGATATAAGAACAGCAGGATTAAAAGTATTACAAAAAATATTGGACCCATAATAGCACCAATCAACCATAATTTTTGATCTGTTAAAATCGGTGTTGTTACAGTAATATTTGACAAATCTGCACGTTGAACTTTTTCTCCCAATGTCACTGTAAAATCTGCAGCATGTTTTTGTAGTTTAGAATTTATTTCAGTTAGAGAAAGATTGCTAATACCATCATAAAATACAGAACCATTAATGATCGTAGAATTTGTTACGTAATAGAAAACTTCGTAATCATTCGGCGCATCCTAAAATAATACATTTAATCAGTAATAAATTTTGATAATCTCTTTTCATTATTATCAGTTACATTCAGACGAGTTATGTTTATAATGTGCACTTCGATAGGACATGCTTGTCTTTTTTTTCGTTTGCGAAAATTATTTGAATTCGTGAAACACACCATTGCAAGTTGCGCAATTGCCCTTAAACCTTCTTTTAATTTGGAAACTTGAGCACTATTATTTGGATCAAAAGTTGGTCCTGTAAAACCTGAAACAAGTAGACAACAAATAACTAACGAACGATAGGATGATAAATAAAACTTACGTATGTATACAATATTAATTAGCTGTGTAGTAGTTGCTGTTGCTGCTGTAGCAAGTTGTGATGTTTCCATGAAGGTAAAGACATCGTTGATAATTGTTGAATTTTGAACAAGATTCGCAATAGAGCCAGTATCCCCAACTGTTCTTAGAGAAGATTGTGTTATCATCTGAGTAGAAACTGTACTAATAATTGGAGAGACTGAAGTAGTGGAAGGTAAAATTGTGGACGAAGTAAAAGATTGGTGACTCAGGTTTAACGATGTGTCCGTAACAGTGGTTGTTGCTGAAACATCTAATTCTGGTTGCCTAATGTTGAACATTTGCGAATCGCTTGGTGTCATTTCAACGTTAGCTGCATACGACATTATCGTTAATGATTCAGTAATGGTTGTCGAAGTAAGCGTAAGTGTAGAGGAAGTTACAACGTTGTTTGTTGCTGGTGTTATGGTAACAAAAGTCGATAATAAACTTTTTAGTGTTTGATTTGATGTTAGAGAAGACACCGACTCTAAAAAGAGAAATAAATTAACAACGTATGAGAATTCATGAAAATAAGGAAAACTTGAATAGTTTAATTTGTGCCTTATGCTTGTCAAATTAGTTTTATACAAGCTGATGATTGAAGAAAAAGAATTCACGAAGTGGTATAGGACTTGATTGGTTATGAGTTAATTTCTAATTTGTACATTTTATTCATAATAGAATAGAAGGTAATAAATGTCTCTTTTATGTGAGCTGACCAAAACTTACTATGAGATGTGGTGCCCGCGACAATCGACGTTTGATTAGATTGAGGTGTCAGTTCAGTTGAAAATTGTGAGAAATTAGTAGAAAACGTAGATGTGCTTGTTATGGAAGTATTTGATGTTGTGGATGTTCGAGATATACTGTTCGGAATTGAGATGGTAAGATTTTGATCGTCTGACGCTGAAAGAATCAGAAACAATCTTCGAATTCTATTTCTGCTTTCAGACTACGAACGGTAAATTGTGGTTAAGTTGAAAACAATCACATCTGATATACTACCAGTAAACAAATAAGTTGTGATCAACACAGTATAAGTTGTTATAGTTTTGTTTAAAAGTTATCACACCATTGCAAAATGAAACATTGTTTTTTAGAAAAGTAATAATCACTTAAAGCGAGTTATGTGGTTAGACTAGATAAATCTGTTGGTATTAATGTGTTCTCGAATTGTATCTATTAAATAACATAGATGTATGCAAACAAAAGAAAGGACGGGGGCGATTATCTGATGAAATCGGCCCATGCCTCAAGTTCATCGAGTAATCAAAGGCTAGATGTGGAATGAAGAGGGGAATATTTCTAGATACTTACTAGACCTTAGAACCACTCCCACAAAAAAAATTGGTCGAATTAAATTTGATTAAGTTTCTACTGCATCTGACATATATTACAGATCGTAGTTTTGGATCTTTCTCTCTTAGTGATTCCTCACGACTATTATATATCATTCGAAAGCTCTTTTTCTTCGCTATATTTCTGTATACAGCCGTTCTGAGGCCAAGTATGTTTAGAAATACTTCTGGCTATGGAAAATGATCTCCTAGATGTAAAAAGTCTCCGACATTCTATGTCAGCATTTCTCATTCGGCCATTACAATAAATATACCATTTAATAGAGAATTTGTCGACCAAAATTTAATATATATAATATAGAGAAAAAAGTGTCTTAGAGCACCTTGATATTAGAAATGTTTCTGCAAAGACAGAATGCTGCTTGTAATTCTCAATTTTCTCCATCAGAACTCAACTTTTATGCAATAAAAATATCATATTCGTAATTAGGATAAAAAACCGAGTCGAACGATGTGTGTTTTCATCATATCCGACTACTTTACTTTTTGTCGAATCTTCACGTTGAAAAATTAAGGAGATTTTCACCAAAAATGAAAATCAAGTAAAAATTTCGAAATACACATTGTTCGACTCAGTTTTTGATCTTGATTCCGAATATGATATTTTTATTGCATAAACATCATTGAGTTCTGATGGAGAAAATTGAGAACTACGATGAGGATTCTGGCTTTGCTGAAACATTTCTAGTCTTGAGGAATTGTGAAACTAAGAGAGAAAGATCCAAAACTACGATCTATAATATATGTCAGATGCAGTAGAAACTTAATCAAATTTGATTCGACCAATTTTTTTTGTGGGAGTGGTTCGAAGGTTTAGTAAGTATCTAGAAATATTCTCCTCTTCATTCCACAACTAGTCTTTGATTACTCGATGAACTTGAGGCATGGGCCGATTTCATCAGATAATCGCCCCCGCCCTTTTTGCATTATCACTAACTATGCATGTTTTGACAAAATGACGTTATACACAAGCGATAGTGCCGAAAGAATACTTTAATTAATATAGATTTATAATAAATAGCAAACCGTATGTATTTGTAATGTCTCACTCTCCTATAATGTTCAAACTAATGCTATTTTTACTTTACAAACGTCTTTCAAAAGTGCATTCTCGTATTGTAACCGCACAAAAGAACTTTTCAAGATTTTAAACTATATCATGCAACCTGAAGATCAAATTTCATTACATAGATCTATGAATTTTTTTATCAATGCATTCAGAGAACAGAAATAGAACGATTTCTACTTGTGAATAGCGTGCAATAATCTAACAAAAATTTATTCTACCTTTGGTTAATATCACGGAGTTACCGACAGTTACAGCATCTACAATACAGCGAATGTTCTTTAAAGCATAGTTTTATTTTATGTACACTACTTACTATAGACATTAACATCGTATACACTAAATAATGATATACCACCACAACACGTTGTATTATTTGTTAAACATGGAATTGTACAATCGGTTTCGTTCAAATTTGTTGACCATTCAATTTCCGTACCGCAATAGCATAAACTTCCATTAAGAACTCCGCCATACTGGAATCCAGCGCAAAGACTAATACACGCATGAATATTATTAACAATTCCTATCATTATTTGCAAAACACTTTCTTTAAAACAGCCCCGGTATCCAATCACATTATTTGAACAATGACTATCTGATCCTAAAATGAGAATATTAATTTGGTTCAAGTCTTTATGTTAAAACAGATATGATATCTTGATTAAATGATGGAGTCAGTACTTTGAACATTGTATACACTATTTCGATTATCACCACCACATTTTGCTGCTATGTCTTCATCTATACATTGATAATCACATTCGTCATCTAGTACTCTGCCATATCTTCCATACGTCTGACCACAGCGACATTCGTTTCTTTAACATAAGACGGATTTATAAAACAAAAAAATATACTTTTCCTGTACTATACCCAAATTGTATAGCGGCGTAAACAAAATTTTGTTCTCGACAATTAGCAACACATTGTGCTGAACTTAGTTTGTCACCAATAAATGTTCCAAGATCACGAGTTCCGACGTGATCAATATAACACCCAAGATAATAATTAGCACCTGAAGTAAGCATTATGACAATTATCAAACGATCATTCATTCATTCATTCATTCTTTGGAAATAGTTAGTACCTTTGTTACATTGTACCAGCTGTAGAATACAACAGGAAAGCAAAAAGAGTGTTTTCATTGTTACTTTCGTTCATACCAGTGTATCAAAAATTAGCCTAATCTAAACAATAAATTCAATTTGAAAATTAACACCTGTTAATAAAAATTTAGTAGCTAATGTCAAAAAGAAAATATTAGCAACTATACTAAAATAGTCTTCTGATTATTAGCAGTGGAAAAGCGAAGATTGTATATACTGTATGAAAATAGATCTGAAGAATATCAGCTATTTCCTTTAATGTGAATACGACATCGCTTAAAGCAAACAATTCTTGATTTATGATGCAAATCTTCCTTACAGTAAAAAAAAATATAAAATATTCCCTTATTTCATAGTAGGAAAATATATACCCAGGTCAAAGATTCATGACAGTATACTAGAGTATTTCATCGTATTTTGACGTAAACCCGGCCAACGTATTACGTCCATCGTAAACGACGTCGTTTATGTTCAAATACGACGAAATACGACGATCGTAACGGCTGACGTAATACGTTGGCCGGGTTTACGTCAAAATACGACGAAATACTCTAGTATACGTCAAATTACGTCGTCGTAATTTGACGTATACGGCCGTATAGAACGGTCTTAATCATGGACCTGGGTAGTGCTGTTTGAAATAAAGTCGTTAGTTTTTTAACGAAGATTGCCATAGTTCATGGAGAAAAAAAATGAAATTAACAAACCATGTTTGCTTTAAGTACTTAACTTTTGTTTCAACGAAAACTAGGTTAGAAAACAGTATTTTGAAAACGCAATTTTTGAAACACACACCTGTCAAAAGATACTCGATTTCACTCTTGTTTTAATTTATAAAACAGTGTCTTTAAACAAGTTTAATATTATATCTATATTTCAAGTTCATTAAACGCGTTCAGTTTTAATGACAAATGCCAATCATAGAAATTCATATTTTTCTTTAAGGACTAATGAAATATAATTTGAAATAGATTTCAGTTTTTGTTTCTATCCACAAACTACGGATTAAATAGTTTTGCACAGCTTCTTGGTTTGAGGTGTGATCCTTCTGTCTTTACTACCACCAACCTGACTGCGCTAGATTATGTTTTGTATCCCAGTTCTTGGAAATCTCTGCAAGTTTTCGATCAACCCCCTATTGGGCAGTCGATTCATTTTACATTATTTTATTCTTTCGACGTTTCTGTTAAACCCCTTCCAGAACAAAAGTTCATGCTGGTCCGTAATTTCTCTAAGTGTGATTTAACTCTACTTTACGAAGCTCTAGACACTATACCAAACAGTTTTTCATTGACTAATGAGCCTTCTGAAGCAGCCAATATCTGGACCATTCATTCGAATGCTTGTCTTGAGTATCTTGTGCCTTTCAAAAAAATCAAGTTAGTCATGAAACTTACTATCGCTCTATCTAAACTCACCCGAAAGTTTATGCAAAAAAGAAATCGTACCTTCAGAATTTGGAAATCAAGGCAATCACTTGACAGCTACTTGATCTTCAAGTCCTTACGCAACAAAGTTGTTCAATCTTTACGTGGCGATAGAAAGCGGCATTTTAAAAGAGTTCTTTCTCTCTTTTCGAATCCATCTCGTTTCTGGTCAAGCATTAACAAATTTCGATCAGGAAAAACTGGTCTCCCTCAGTTTATGAGGAACAAATTAAACCATACTTCTTCTTCTCTTAAAGAATCATGTGACATGTTCAATACCTTTTTTGTTCTTGTTTTATTCTTCGTCTCATATCTCTGCTGTCCCAGCATCTTCCCTAGTCTCCTTCACTGGGTCTAAATTCACCGAATTAAAAATTACTCTTTCGGATATTGTTGAAGCCGTCGGTTCTATGAAAAACACCGATAATGCTGGTATCGACGGTTTATCCTTAAAATTCATTCAA